TAGAAATGGCCCGACTCTGATAAACAAGGCACATGTCGAGGAAATGTAAACACAGCTGATTTACCCTACACAACACATGTATACATGTATATATATTTGTAAACTGCATTACATTTACAATACATATAAAGTACTGAGAAGTGTATAAACCTCTTTTTTCTATGTATGTCATTTGTGTGAAAACCATGGTTACCACATAAAAAATTACCAAAAAATGCCAAAAATTGCTATTTTTTAACCCGAAATTTGACCCCCGCAATTTTTTTCCGAAGCTCTGTCTGAAATTAAAGATTACCTACCTGGTTGCAGAATTATCTGGGTTCCAGTAAAGTTGTAAAACTTGATTTTTTGCAATTTTGCGTCGTGTGCTGTTGTCAAAATTTTACCTCCTGTAAAGCTAGCTTTTCATGTGTACGCACCCTTTCGGATTATGGCCAAAATTTTTTTCTCGAACCAAAAAAATCTTCTTTCTTTTTTACAAATGTGAAGCTCACATAGCCCACTTCATCATGCTTATACCAATTTTAGTACAGTTTTATTTTTAATTTTTTTTTACATATCATTATACAGGGGTTAGCCATTTAACAAAAATATCACCCATGGCCACAACCCTCTACTGTACTCTGCTACCTTATACATCACTTTTTTTTCCCCAAAATTTAATCAAAACCTTTTAAATGTCTGGAAAATGCGACAATGAACACAATGATGTATCCGTTTCCTTTCTCACTTTAATAGTGACCGAGTAATATGAATTCTCCTGACAAGTTTATTTACCAATTCTGCTCTCAAACTACCAACAAAGGGAGGTAATCTGAAAAATGAAAACTTGAATAGGTTTGTAGTTTTCATGAATAAAATTTCTTTTTGGGTGAAATATGATGCTTTGAGATCATGTGCATGTGAAAAACAAACAGTACAGTGATACTATGATGATACTGTCTTGTCTGATGACATCATAGTAACTGTGATGTCATCATAACTATGACATCATCAATGGGCATCTATGACATCATCGAGGATCACTGATATCAAAAGATTGAACACTAGGAAACCCATCTCAACAACAAACTATCAACAGACACACTTCCCGTAACCGATGAACAGCACAGAAATGTCAGATATACCAGCACATTGTGTGGTATACCAGGACAATGTGTGGTATACTAGTACATTGTGTGGTATATATACCAATACATTGTGTGGTATACCAGTACATTGTGGTATACCAGTACATTGTGTGGTATACCAGTACATTGTGTGGTATACCAGTACATTGTGTGGTATACCAGTACATTGTGTGGTATATCAGTACAATGTGTGATATACCAGTACATTGTGTGGTATATATACCAATACATTGTGTGGTATACCAGTACATTGTGTGGTATACCAGTACAGTGTGTGGTATACCAGTACATTGTGTGGTATACCAGTACAATGTGTGGCATACCAGTACAATGTGTGGCATACTAATATAATGTTAGAATGAAATTAAATCAAAGCTTTAATAAAACAGGCCAAATATACATGTGCCTGCTATCTAAGGATACTGTAGGATTGTAGGTTCCATATATAGATAATAAGTGAGACCTTGATATTAAAGCAGATCTGTTTGTCTACCACTCACAAGACTAAATACTGAAAGCATGCAGACCTATATATAGAACTCCAATCTCCAACAGGTATTTCATGGGCCAATCGGCTGACTGAGGCACTGAAGAGTAATCTCAGCATTTAATGGCAGCCAAAATAGAAAATTTGTTTCCGATTGAATTTGTCTGAAATCTGTTATATAAGAAGACGGTGATGGAACAAATGAAGTAATTCTTATAAAGTGGCATTTCTTATATAGGTCTACAAATAGACAGAGGAGTGGCGAAACAGCAACATAAAAAGACAGCAAAGTGGTGACACAGATACACAACACAGTGTTGACACAGATAGACCACACAGTGGTGACACAGATAGACGACACAGTGTTGACACAGATAGACGACCAAGTGTTGGCACAGATAGATGACCCAGTGTTGACACAGATAGACGACCCAGTGTTGACACGGATAGATGCCCCAGTGTTGACACGGATAGATGATCCAGTGTTGACACGGATAGACGACCCATTGTTGACACGGATAGATGACCCAGCGTTGACACAGATAGACGACCCAGGGTTGACACAGATAGACCACCCAGTGTTGACACAGATAGACGACCCAGTGTTGACACAGATAGACGACCCAGAGTTGACACGGATAGACGACACAGTGTTGACACGGATAGACGACCCAGTGTTGACACAGATAGACGACCCAGTGTTGACACAGATAGATGACCCAGTGTTGACACAGATAGAAGACACAGTGTTGACACAGATAGACGACCCAGGGTTGACACAGATAGACAACCCAGTGTTGACACAGATAGAGACCCAGTGTTGACACAGATAGACGACACAGTGTTGACACAGATAGACGACACAGTGGTGACACAGATAGACGACACAGTGGTGACTCAGATTTGTTGACGACACAGTGGTGACACAAATAGATGACACAGTTGTAATACAGATAGACATCACAATGGTGACAAATAGATGACACAGTTGTGACATAGATAGATAGTGTTGACAGAAGTAATTACCATTTATTGCATAAAAACAATTTTGCATGTGACCATACTCATGCAACATCTCCCATAAAAAGCAACCCATGTGTCAAAATGATTACATTTCACATGCAAACATCTGTTTATCACTTCCTGGTCTATCAAACAGAACAAGTTTCAAGCAGAACATGTACATTGTATCTCTAAAACAGGTTTTAAACTACAAGGCCGCTTTAAACTACAGTTGTGTGACCGCACAACGCACCATAAATACTGTGCGCACACCATGCATATATCGTTTACACACCGACGGCACATGTTGTGCACAACTGTGCGATGTAACAATCGTTCACCCGTTGTGCGCTTCTATCCGCACAACTGTGCGATTTGGTACAATTTGCTGATCAATATTACAGAATGAAAACAATACGGAAGGATTGTATGCAATAATGTACACTGTATATATTACTGTAATTTCTCATCACAATAATTAAGATCATGTACAATTTTACAATGCGTGTAACACAGTATACAGTGACCTTTAGACTGTCAAGAATGGGTTTGGCTCCTCGTAACAGAACAGGTAAATAACAATTTGATGAGTGACCGGAGTTTGACCTGTACTTTGCCTGACACGTGATACCGTAGGACTGTTATGAAAACACAACTGGACATTTAATATTTGTTATTTGCATTCGTTTTGGTCTATAGCTCCCCTTCACCTGGTTTTCACACCTTGGCGAGTTACGTAAGTGACCCAGGCGGGGGGAAACTACAGTCCAGGTACAAAGTGGCTATGTTTACCTGTGTTGCCGAGACTTTGTTGTAATTTTATATGTGTTGATTAAGGTCGACAACCGAAAACACCATTTCTAAATTTAAGAAAGTATAGACAAAAAGATAAGCTTATAGATGTAGCACGAATATAGAAACATACTTAAACAAGAGGCCCATGGGCCTTAACGGTCACCTGAGTCTATAGTATTTATTTTTGTTGTTGAAATATGTACCAATTTGAGTAAAAAATAGTATAATGTTAACTTAACTTTGTCAGGACCATGAGCTGATCATTCCTAGACCAATTTTAAGTGAGATCGGCCTATTAGAACTTAGTAGCAAAATAGCGGCCATGGCAGCCAAATTGTATTTCTGATTGACCCGAAAAATAACAACACTTTGTCAGGACCATGATTCGATCATTCCTACAAAGTTTCAGTTCAATCGGCCAAGTAGATCTTTACTTTAAGTTTGAAATAGTTTACCAAAATGGCAGCTGTGGTGGCCATATTGGATTTCTGATCGACCTGAAAAATAACAACACTTTGTCAGGACCATGAGTCAATCATTCCTACAAAGTTTCAGTTCAATCGGCCTAGCAGAACTTGACTTTAAGTTTGAAATATGTTTTCAAAATGGTGGCCGTGGCGGCCATATTGGATTTATGATTGACCTGAAAAATAACAACACTTTGTCAGGACCATGAGTCGATCATTCCTACAAACTTTAAGTTCAATCGGTCCAGCAGAACTTGACTTTAAGTTTGAAATAGGTTTTCAAAATGGCGGCCGTGGTGGCCATATTGGATTTCTGATCGACCCAAAAAATAACAACACTTTGTCAGGACCATGAGGCGATCATTCCTACCAACTTTCAGTTCAATCGGTCCAGCAGAACTTGACTTTAAGTTTGAAATAGGTTTTCAAAATGGTGGCCGTGGCGGCCATATTGGATTTCTGATCGACCCGAAAAATAACAACACTTTGTCAGGACCATGAGGCGATCATTCCTATCAACTTTCAGTTCAATCGGCCCAGCAGAACTTGACTTTAAGTTTGAAATGTAAAATGTTAACGGACGACGGACGACGGACGACGGACGACGGACGACGGACGACGTACGACGGACGACGGACGACGACGGACGAAAACGGATAGCAATAGGTCACTTGAGCTAAAGCTCAGGTGACCTAAAAATCAAGTGTATATGTTTAAACACGAAACATATATATGTTAAGCCATTCCTCAATTTACACCAACCACGATTGTTATTGCACAACATCCGCACAAATGTGCGCAAGCAATGATCGTCCAATTTCTTATCATTCGCACTTCGTGCAAACATCGTTCACACACCGTTCAAATGTCGTGCACACACCGCACTTCGTGTAACGTTGTGCGATCCCTCAACCGTAACTAATTAGGTATAGCAGGAAACAACAGATCTTTTTAACCCTTTCACCACTGTAGACCATAATGAAATTATCCAGATGAATATATGGTAGAGTGTATTAAAGTCACATAGGGGTGAAAGGGTTAAAGGATTCCTTCAATACAATCTTTGTTATTGGTAAGTCTGGGAGGCTGGGGTGGGGTAGTGGTGGGACATATACTGACCATACTCTGGACCATGGCGGAGAACACTTTGTCGTCATTGCTTGTTTTGGTGAATGGTATGGAGGAGGCAGAGAGTGTCAGGGCATAAGCTACATTGATCATCTGTAGGGCATCTGTAATCAACATCAAAACAGTTTTCAAAGACACACCACATTAATCATATTTTCAACTTATTCACATTTACCTAAACATTTTACAATAAATATTGTTATGCATAGTGATTAGTTTGATCCTATATTACAATTTTTAGTAAATTTTAATTATCCTGAATATATAAAATAACTAGATAATTAACCCTATCCAATTATCCCTATGCACCTAGACAATAAGCCTGATGATTTTGCATGAAATAGGTAAAAAGTAATGCCCTGGACACAGTTTAGCCATAATGAAGATCATTGGTTAAAGTATACGCCACAATTAAGTGACCTAGTTTCAGCTTGATGAAAACTTCGGAAAGCATTAGGATGTTATAAGGTCCAGATGTATGCACGGACAGAAAATGTACTGTGATTATAGTATAATAAAGTAGATATATTTCCACATTACATGTAAAGGCAGGGCCCCTTATTATCCCCCAGTGACTTCTCTATAGATGTACCCATCACCACATCTTAACCCTGTCACCTACCTTCTTTGTTCATATGATCCTTTCCTGCTGAGAACAAGTGGAAATAATATTTAAGCTGCACAGCCTCATCAAACATTTTGATGATCTCTTTCCCAGACTTGACAAACTGCTCCTTAGTGATGCGTTCCCTTGTGTGGTTGCCATGGTTTTGTGTCATTTGTAGGTACAGCAGCTTTCCAAATTTGTCAAGAGGACCATGAAAGGCATTCTGAAACAACAGAAAAATACCAGTATTGATTTGGTCTCTAATTTCTTGGATAAAATGTTTAGTTGTGTTATATGTTAATTAAAACATTGGTTGTCTCACGTGTAACACTCTCCTTGCGCAATGCAACCATTCCTCGGAGTTCGTCATCTATGTATGCCATCTTCTAATTAGGTGTTAAGAACTCACACAGAAATTCCAAACTTTTGGAATGGATTATGTTAATCTTCAGTATTCTAATAACACATAATGTTTATGATAAAATTGTTCATATGTAATCTTGAGTACATAGCAACTGTATGAAAGTGTCAGATCTAACAAATTTGCTGTACACAAAGTTAAGTGTAACTGTACGTTTCTTGTACCATAACTGACCTGTGCTGTTGTTATAATTCTGTAAGTTTCTTGATAACTGACCTGTGCTGTTGTTATAATTCTGTAAGTTTCTTGATAACTGACCTGTGCTGTTGTTATAATTCTGTAAGTTTCTTGATAACTGACCTGTGCTGTTGTTATAATTCTGTAAGTTTCTTGATAACTGACCTGTGCTGTTGTTATAATTCTGTAAGTTTCTTGATAACTGACCTGTGCTGTTGTTATAATTCTGTAAGTTTCTTGATAACTGACCTGTGCTGTTGTTATAATTCTGTAAGTTTCTTGATAACTGACCTGTGCTGTTGTTATAATTCTGTAAGTTTCTTGATAACTGACCTGTGCTGTTGTTATAATTCTGTAAGTTTCTTGATAACTGACCTGTGCTGTTGTTATAATTCTGTAAGTTTCTTGATAACTGACCTGTGCTGTTGTTATAATTCTGTAAGTTTCTTGATAACTGACCTGTGCTGTTGTTATAATTCTGTAAGTTTCTTGATAACTGACCTGTGCTGTTGTTATAATTCTGTAAGTTTCTTGATAACTGACCTGTGCTGTTGTTATAATTCTGTAAGTTTCTTGATAACTGACCTGTGCTGTTGTTATAATTCTGTAAGTTTCTTGATAACTGACCTGTGCTGTTGTTATAATTCTGTAAGTTTCTTGATAACTGACCTGTGCTGTTGTTATAATTCTGTAAGTTTCTTGATAACTGACCTGTGCTGTTGTTATAATTCTGTAAGTTTCTTGATAACTGACCTGTGCTGTTGTTATAATTCTGTAAGTTTCTTGATAACTGACCTGTGCTGTTGTTATAATTCTGTAAGTTTCTTGATAACTGACCTGTGCTGTTGTTATAATTCTGTAAGTTTCTTGATAACTGACCTGTGCTGTTGTTATAATTCTGTAAGTTTCTTGATAACTGACCTGTGCTGTTGTTATAATTCTGTAAGTTTCTTGATAACTGACCTGTGCTGTTGTTATAATTCTGTAAGTTTCTTGATAACTGACCTGTGCTGTTGTTATAATTCTGTAAGTTTCTTGATAACTGACCTGTGCTGTTGTTATAATTCTGTAAGTTTCTTGATAACTGACCTGTGCTGTTGTTATAATTCTGTAAGTTTCTTGATAACTGACCTGTGCTGTTGTTATAATTCTGTAAGTTTCTTGATAACTGACCTGTGCTGTTGTTATAATTCTGTAAGTTTCTTGATAACTGACCTGTGCTGTTGTTATAATTCTGTAAGTTTCTTGATAACTGACCTGTGCTGTTGTTATAATTCTGTAAGTTTCTTGATAACTGACCTGTGCTGTTGTTATAATTCTGTAAGTTTCTTGATAACTGACCTGTGCTGTTGTTATAATTCTGTAAGTTTCTTGATAACTGACCTGTGCTGTTGTTATAATTCTGTAAGTTTCTTGATAACTGACCTGTGCTGTTGTTATAATTCTGTAAGTTTCTTGATAACTGACCTGTGCTGTTGTTATAATTCTGTAAGTTTCTTGATAACTGACCTGTGCTGTTGTTATAATTCTGTAATTTTCTTGTCAAGCTGGCACAAAAACTAAAGTTGACTGTTGTGCTGATTTGTTGTCTATCAACCCATTATTGACACAAACTGATACAGACAAACCAAACCTGTTCATAATGTTGTTGCATTTCATAGGTTAAATAATGCCTGAGGACATGTACACCTCACATTTGTATTTATTTTCTCATTAGTACCTGAGGAAACCTCAAATTTGGATTTATTTTCTTATTAGTACAATTTTAGTCTGATACAAAGGCTGTTGTTAACATACCACTGTGTAAGAGAAACTTCCTCCTAACACTGTTTAGTGTGTATGCTTTCATTAAGTCACTATGAAGAAGTGCTAATTTTATTTAAAGTAAAGCTTTCCATAATTAGTTGCTATGACAAAATTTAAGTTGAGAAAAAATCTACTGAAGAAATTTTGCAAAAATGGAGCCTCGTTTTCAATCAGGAAGGGTAAAAGAAAGTGGGGCATCTGATTAAGCTTAGGTGGGGTATAATGTGAGAATATTTATAAAGAGATGTAGATAGACCCACAGACATTCATGTACACCAATGTATATATCCTGTTCACAGTAATGCTTATATATATAATACATATGTACAATGTACTACATTTTTTGTTGAAATTTGGGTACGGTAGGAATAAATTAGAAAATGATTTCATAATATGTGATGGCACTTCGTTCATTATAGCAAAGTAAGAAAAGTGAAAATGTCGAAAGTTTATCTCTTACCCTAAAGGATGAGTCAGTATACGTAGCAGATGTCCCCAAATATTCTATATTTTTACATCGCAAAATATGGACCAAGTAGAATTAAGACCTTGAGCTAATGAAAATAATACCTGTCATTCCGGTTTTTTAAGAAATATTGATGTTGTTCCAAAACCACAATCATGCAGTGATGTTTTAGGCTATTTACTGTAAACACAGCAAGTTTTGTGGTTTCTGTATTTAAAGAATGGCAAAAAAGCAATGTGAGTGTTTTGCAATTGACTAGTGACAATTTCATAGGTTTTTAATTGTTTGTATATATATGTACATGGACAATATTTGTGTGTGTTCGTGTTCCGTAGTTGACCAATATGATAGCAATAAGGTGTTGTCCTGCAGTAGTATAATTACCACGGTAGTTACCTCAAATGTTACTCTAGTCAGTTCTCCTGGGTGACAGTTGTCCTCATCAGCAGTCAGTTCTAATTTCTGGAAAGAAATAAGAAAATCACGTTTATTTATCTGAAGTTTTGATCATGTCTGTTTAACATACAGACACTTGTAGGCTAATATGATTGATACAAAGACATGTACATATTGACTGCAGATATTACATTTCTGTTATTTTCTGGAATTTCACCATATGACCAGGTGATTTTATAAGACAATACCCTGTAACTTTGGCTACATCAGTGAACACTGTGACTCTGAGTAACCCAAGACCGTATGACCTTAATGACCTCAGTGACTAAATTGACCCTGTAACCTCAGAAATGTGACCCTGATGACCATAGTGACATTATAATCAGTGATCATGTGACTGGCCAAGAGTACACAAGGTCAACAAGAAGTTTTTAGAAATGTAGCTCTTTATAGCTGAAACTCCAGTAAGTCAATAGAATTCAAGATTTGTATGGTGTGTGTATCTAGATATGCGAAAAACTTTGCAGTGTAAAAAGGAACCACAATTAAATATCTTTATGATTATATTGATGTTTCATTTCTAGTGTTTAGTGCCAAATCCTCCAGTTGTGTTTATGAATGTACTGGTATGATTCAACTGTAACGTGGCCAAAGGTGGCTGGAGTAAGAACATGGCTTTTCATGTGATTTAGTGTATCACTAATAAGTGTGTGTGTGTATTTACAACTAAAAATCTTTTCTAGTTTAAGGAATCTTATCATATTAACTAACAATATACTTTTGTTTTTATATAATTATCACAGTAACAATAACAAAAAAGGAATTTGTTATATTCCACAACTGTAATGATAAACAACTTTCTGGAAATTCTCTCTTCTAAGCTTTGCAATGTTCTTATAAAATATAGCCTCTACAACTGAAATATTACTTTTTATATAACAAAGAAAATTATGAGAGTTTTAGAAAACTTTACAACATAAATTTACCAAAAACAAAAAAGTCTGTCTCCCTTTGAACAATTTGACCTTTGACCTTGCCTCCAATGTCATAAGCCTAAAGGCCATGTACAACAATAGCCACAACACATTGTACTTTATCATATATGATGACTATATTTAAAATTCATTGTCAAACAATAATAATCTAACATTTTGTTTGAAGGGAACATAAATAATTCATCTTTTTTTTTTAAATAAATACATTTACTTTTTTCTCAAAAAGAAAAAAAATCAATGATCAAAACCATATATTATAACGGCTCAAATGTTTTTTGCAATTTTATAGTCAAAAGTAATTGCAAATTTGAGACAATTATAAAAATGAGTTATAACTCATATATACTCACTATATGAAGAACAGTGACTATTCAGCATTAGGTGAATGTGCTTTGAATTCACAAAAAATAATGAATGATTATGAATACAAAATGTATTTGGAGAAAATTTTATCCATAGAAAAGTTGGAGATTGACAAGCATGGCAACATAGAAAACCTATAGAACCCCACAAACCTAATCCTACAGACATACCAAGTCACATGTAGATCATGTCATCAATCAAACACGAATAGATCTCGACTTAACAAAATCCATAAAAAATACAAGTGGATATAAACGCCCATCCTCCGTTATTGTCCAACACATCTTGTTCAAACAAGAGTTCAGATAACGGATGTAGTTTATGCGTGATTTAAATCTGTAATTTATTTGACTTTTATCACAATTACAATCCTCATATTGTTTGATATCTGTTCACCTTTTCAATACAAATGTTTAAGGTGTTAGTGGTCAGTGGGCCTGAATTGGACTTAATCTCAGCCATATATCTTACTGGCTATTTTAGGTTGTTGTACGCACTTTAACACAAAGTCCCATGGGAAAATGTCCTGCCGTAAGGAAATAATGTCAACAGTTAGATTTTATGTGGAGATGAAAAGTCAAATCTGAATAACAGAGTCAAAACCATTACCACCAGGAACAATGTACATTTTGTATTAACACATTCACCCCTGAAATTTGATAATGAACTTTTCCAACCTTTGAATTGGAAGAGTTAAAATGCGTCTGCAGGGGTAAATGAGTTTTAAAAATTCTCTCACATTGTGTGATTAAATTGTACTTCAAACAAAAACATCAAAAGATATTTTAAAAAAGTAAATTAACGTAATATCCGATGGGAAACGAATGCAACATAAAACACACATAGCATGTCAATCTATATTTCATTAAAATCAGGGGGGAATCTGCTGTAATCCCTTTGGGAATCGTGTCAAATATTGAATCCAAATACATACGAACCAGTGGAAAGGTGGCCCAGAGACCTGATATAAGGAAAGGGGTGAAAGAGATCTATTTGGTAAACCCAGAGAATTTATACAGTATCAGAAAAGGGGTGAAACAGCAGACTTATGGTAAACCAAGAGACCTACATGTGATATCAGAAAAGGGAAGAAATATCAGAAATGGGATGAAATAGGTACGCATAAGTCCTCAAGCTCTGTAAAACAAATATTACAAAGGACCCATTCCCTAGATCAGGATTGGTTGTCATCAACAGATAGCTATAGAGCTCCATAAACGTGTAACATGAGTGGTAAAATGGGATACACTATTTGGCCCTCAGGAACTCTAAACTCGATCTAAACAAATACACTTCAAAACAAATAACGAAGCACAGATCTGTACATTTAAGTTTCTAGTCCCTTTTTCTATTTGTTTCTTATAATTGGATGACTTTTCATGCATACTCTAAAACAATTACTGTAATGTAAATAATTCACAGAAATTGGTTAAGAACCAGGTCATTATCTATGTAATTAAGTTTACTGCAATTCATTGTGATTAGGATGATCAATCTGGATTATTTTAAAGAAAATCAATAAGTTTCCAATTTCTGTGAAATACTCAAGGACTACATATATATACAGGATCTGCCTTTAGGTCATCAGGCTTAGATACAAATCAGATGGGCAGTCAATCTCAAATAGCTGAACGAGATTCAATGCAATCCAGAAAATTTTTAATTCCCCAAATGAAATGACATGATTTCCTTTTCCAGCTTCCTTATGTGCGTATGTTGAAATATTAATGAATATGGGTTTGGCATGTCTGTGTACTTCAGGGAAATCTACAGGTTTCAGGTTATTGCTGTGCTGGCTATCCATAGCTAGAGCACCTTGTTAGAACAACTGAGAGGCTGATCATGACGATCGCGAGTCTTCTATAGGAGAGGATCGTCAGTTAAAAAATATGATGATGGAGTCTAAAATGATTGGAGGAAGGGTAGAATGAAAGAACAGCAGAAAGAGTGAAGAAGGAAATTAATTGGGACAACTACATGGAATGAAAATTTCAGGATCATCTGGATGTAAAATAGAGCCCCTTAAAGTACATGTATTTATGAACTAGCTATTTAGTCATCCAGAAACTTTGTTAGACAACCACCACAAGTACAAGGAATTGTTCGAATGATTTGTTTTTACAAATTTGACACCTGTGACACCTCATGTACTGGTCAGTGGTCTAGGTGAACTTTTTTGCGAGCTTTGTATGGCAATCTCCCAGAAGGTGACGAGACATTCTGCACCACCTCATAAACTCACAGGCACTCCATATGCATGCCAAGGGATATAATGAAGCACAACACTTAGACTTTTAAATAAAAAGTATGTTCCACTTAAATAGTTTGCTCATGTTTTTATTTCTGTAAACATTCGATCAGCTCATGACTATGGCCAATATATAGACCAGCAGGTCACTGCATCATCCAGTAGGATTACAAGCCACTACACCATATAGTAAAACATGTATTTACATACAAATGATTAATCACAGTCCTGTTCTATTGAGTAACCATTTCAGGATGAGATAACAGCCCTCACTCACAATGAAAACTCTGTCTACACCAAAACATTGCCAAATTTTAAACAGAAAGCAATCTAAAAGTTTAACTGGCACTTTTCTTCTTAAAATGTTGTAAATTCTGGTTCAGTTAAAACAGATAATATCGTAACATAAAAATGATGATGATGCCCTACCTAAGAGGTATACAACACAATGCTTACCATTAACTTCAGTTATTTAGAATGAATGGCATACATATGTTGGTATTATATTTCAATCTTCTTTATAAAAAAAAACAAACTTCAATTTCTTATTTAGATATATAATATATATAAATATCAAAGTAATTGATACCTTTTTGTGTGACCTTAGCCAGTGTGATTGTGTACAATTTTAAACAATAAAAGCAACAAAAATTGGATAAACAGGATCTGAAAGTAGTCTTTTTGCAAGGACCATGCACTTAAAGTGTAATAAGTCAAATGGTGAGAGGGGTTTATATCGGTATGTAATATTAATACAGCTTACACAATATTTCTGTAATGCCTCTGTAGTTCATTACCTACCACATTCAGTTATGACTTATGAGACTTCATGTCTTACATATCATGATCGTATTGCGATTGTGACATTAATCATTGGAGATGCTGATTGGGCCACACAGTAGTGCTAGTTTCACTGTAAAGGACTAATGCCAACATGCATTCTGTTAACAGCTGTCACACAGTTCTGAACAGTACTGCATGCAAGTAAGACTATAAGCAATAACCTGTTGAGAGTTTTTGACATATGGTCTTTTCTAAATGACGTAGCTCAATTAAGGTGATTTCTTTAAACAAACATGTTAGCCCTTTACTTTGGCAAGCTATTCATGTGATGTCAAATGTCAAGATCATATGTCTGATGACTCACAAATAATGCTCATTTAATTAGGTCGCTTTTAGAAACAGTGCAACTTAATTGAGCTCAATGTGAGAAATCAACCTTGATGTTGATGCAGTCATTACTTTCATTCCCAAATGATAATTCCCTGATTAAAATCAACGACGTCAATCACTTTGATATATATACATATATACATATACATGTATCACTGAATGGTTTACCAATAAGATGAAAACTTGATCCAGCTGAGTCACCATTTTATTTACTTATGCATATTTATAAAAGTACAACATAACCCTCAAATAATGATGACTTCAGTGTACTGTAAGGAAATCAGGTGACAACACAGTGGTATCTATATATATATATGACAACACAATGGTATCTATATATATATATGACAACACAATGGTATATATATATATATAGGTGACAATACAATGGTATATATATATACAGGTGACAACACAATGGTATATATATATACAGGTGACAACACAATGGTATATATACATGTATATGTTTTTAACCCTATAGTTTAACTAAACCTACTAATTAATGTAACAATGCTGCAAACCAAAGAGTAAGTTGGGTTTTTTCATTCGTGTCAGATCGATACCTGTGATCAAACACTGGCATTATCTTTGTTACAGTTTTCGGTTAAAATGTTCTTCATTTCTTCATTATGTGACAATTTAAGGAACTTTTTGGTACAGGGAAGGTGCCTGTTTTTCAGTGCAATAAAGATCAAAGCAAACTATCACTTAGATTATATTATGGCTGATCTAATTTGTAATATTACATACAGTATTGATAGGTGTAAAATGTATGACAATGTGGCCCTCTGAAAAAACTTAATAACAAAACCCATTTATTATTTCATAATTTCAATCAGATCATGATCATGATATACATTGTAACACTCAATGGGCTTTACAGTGACAAACGTGACATTAAGATTACGGTACATTTATTTATAAACATTGGGTCCTATATGACCGTCTGCAACAATATAGTTTGAACAATGTTTTTATGTTGTGTATTTGTGTCTGTGTGAATATTACATAAATTTATTGATGTGCTATTAGAATCATATAATGGTAAATGTACAGTATTAAGGGAGAAGGCTATGTTATTTTTTTTTATCAAAACTTGTATAAATTTAGTTGACATTAAAATATGTTTAAAGAAAAAAGACAATGGTATATACTGAAGTGAGAAGATAAGAAAAAATGAAAAATCCCGAAACGACTTTCGACATGTCCCGAAACGACCTGACACCTTCTTCTCGTGTCATAGATATCAGTTGCTCACCCAGGTGAAATGCAAAACAAGTTATTCAAGCTAAAACTAAAACAATCTTAAACGTACAATTTCCGAAGATGTACACAATGTGTACACTTGAAACAAATAATAATAAAAATAATATTTATTCAGGTAAAAGGCAAATAATATTTTTAATATAACAAAATTATAAAAGCACATCCTTAAGAAATAAAAAAAACCGTTAATTATCACATATGTTGTACATATGTCTCCATCCGCTTATCGTCTTAATTGGACGATATATCAGTTTGTTTACAGTTCATTTGTCATACTGTTAGTCAGTAAAAGTATTTAGAAATTATCTCTGACTAGCTGCGACGTTGACCAGTCAGGTTTTCTTACCTGGAATAGTTTCATCAGGCATGCCGAGTTCCTTTTGGAGTGTGAATAGCTCAACGAGTGAGATGAAGAATCAGTTCCATTTCCAGCGGTACCGTTACCTTGATGAGATCGAGTATGCCCTTGCCCCATTCTGAATAATTATTATATTCCAAAATTCATGAAAGTCTGTCACTGTCAAAAAATGGAGAATGAAGTTCTCTTTACGGGCCACATGTTATACAGGCAGAGAGCGAGCTGACAAACACACGACACATAGAGCTGTCCGCACAATTCAACTACAGTTCCGCTTAACCTCTCAAATGTTATTCACAGGTGACACTTGCACTCAAATCCCCTCAGGTAACTCTAACCGGAAGTTACATAGCTTGTATTCGTGTTTACTTCCCTTGAATTCCTATCCCACAATTCATCTATAACACTACTTTTACATATTCCTTCGCGAATAAACAATATAAGGGAAAAGACACAGAGGCGATATTTTTAGATATTTTCTATTGAAAACTTTAATAAAACTGTCTGAATTTTCTATCCTGTAACAAAATTTGTATACATAACTGACTGAGCATTCTAGAAAGAATATTGCAAGTGCACTATTTTATCTTTGAGATGCATCATTAATAGATGTACTTCGGCTCATACTGAAAATAAGGAATGCCATCTTTGTTTGTGAAATTCGTTTGATATTCCCCCAATACCCCCACCATGTCTCGTTGCGAATTTTCAACACGCATTATACCAGCAACTTGTGCCTGGACACTCCTTCTGGGGGCATCGGGGTTTTTCTTTGCATTTATGTAAGTATCTGCTTCGTACCGCAATATATGTTTTATGTTTACCGATCCCCCCCTTTCCTTCCCCCACTCCCCATGTGTATTTGTTTTGATCGTACTATAATGCCATATTAGCTACTGATGTGCAACATTTAACAGTTCAGTAGTGTATATTAAATTCTTGATAACTCAAAACGGATGTCGCGATTATTCATGTGTTGTAGAGTTAGCTGTCGGTCGCATGCATGATTATGATGGTACTCTAGCCCCTTCATCAACATCCATATCACGTGTTGATCTGTCAGTGCCATGCAAATAATGTGGTTTCTAGCGAATATGTATTAGTACAGGAATAAACGAGGTAAACACACAGAAGATAATTGTATTGCTTTTGGTTACTCAGATTTAACCATTTTCCCTACACACGTCACCAACTTATTAAATATGATTCGACTAAGTAAACATTAAATCCAGTGCTTTTGTTATTGATTAAAATGAACTGATTGTTGGTGATATTGAAGTTTTAAGACTGGCAAACAAGCAAACCTAAATGGATATGCAGGTCTGAGGATGAAACTGTAGGCAAATCTCAACAAATAATGTATAATAGTGTTTTCTTGGTCGATTCGTTATCACATTTTTTCAATACCCTACTTATATAATTAATATAAAGCATTTTGGTTGTTACAATGCTTTAAAAATATTCTTAGCAGTTAGGACTAAAACCACTTATTTCATGCTTTCGGAATCTTGAATGCAATATAAGTAGGGTCGTCATGGGTACAGAATTTCAACCCTATGTACCTGAATCTTTAAACCTGACATGTGTACTCAAAATATGTGATTCGTGCAGAACACATCACTGTTATTTAGGGGCTATGTACGTATCATCAGAAGATGCTTGAAAAATTAAGAGATTTGTACAGACTGGACTAAAAAGAAACTACATTACATTATATACTTAAAAAAATATTTATTGATGATAGCCTATATATATATCTGACATTGGGAGGAAATAAAAATACAAAACAGGTAGGGGTATATGTTGTTATTTAAAGTCAATGGCAGTCCTACTTGAATGACAGTTGTGTGTAACTGTTACATCAGATATCAATTTGTTCACCATTTTATTAAACACCTGAAATCCAAAACAAAAATAATCAGGGATGCTGTCAGTCAAATGGTGAGGAACCCCATGTAAATGCTACTAAATGGTCAGTTACTTATATTTGCTGGCCTGGTAACCCAACTAATTACTGTAACATGTACCTGCAGTAGTTCAATCAATCAGTCCATTATATTGGAGTGGTTACTGGAGAAAATATGATGTCAATCAAAATTTGAAACTTGGCTTCTTCTCATCAGCAGCTGTCAATCAAATATATATGTGATATTGGGTCGGTTATAGGAGAAAACCTGATGTCAATCAAAATATGAAATACAAATGGGTGTGGCTACTTAGCACTAGCAGCTGTCAATCAAATTTGTGACAACAAGTAGTAGGTGTGGCTTACTAATGATCAAACACCTGTTGTGGCCTGTCAATCAACTGACAATCAACTGATGGCTACTACTACTGAATGTAGTTAACCTGCCCTGATAAGGGGTTATAGAGTAGCTTTCATAGGGACAGTTGTAACAGTACTTTGATAAGAACCTACCAGGTAATAATAGTAAATGCACATGGACTGATCTGAGGTAGATGTGTATGAACACATTAATGGCTCTTTTTCCAGCCAAAAATTGTGCCAGCTATGTGTTTAAATTTTCTTTGTATTTTATCTCCTAAATTGACATTGTGTCCCATTGACTTTTAAATATTTATATTATATTTTGAAATCAAAACACCCCACTTTTTTAAATGCATACATTAATACTGGTAATTGCAAATTATTTTTATTGACAGGTATTTTAAAGACAATTCTTGATAGCCACCAACGCAAGCAAAATAGTATTTGGTAGTTTCTAAAAAAAATCTCAGTATTTCATGGATGTATTCATATGATATAATTATTTTAGTTTCTTAGAGTTAATTTGTTTCATTAACTTCCTAGATTGTAATGGAATTAATATGAGACCTTTGATTTTGTCTGTTTCAGATGTCCCTATCTGTTACATCATTTTAGCATAGCCATCCCCATCTACCAAGGTATCTTGTGTGTATTTGTCATCGCCAACTTTGGGCTAGCCACCTTTATGGATCCAGGGATATACCCCAGTGGTAAGTTGTGTTTATATTCATATTTCAGACTGAAAATTACAACTGAAATGATTTTCAGACTTAAACTCAAATTCTGTCCAATTTGTTCGGATGCTACAGAAACGTGTAGCTTGATAAATCAATGCCTGGGCCACTACACATGGATTAAGTACTAGTGTTTCCAGTCAGATTAGGATGGATGGCAGCTAGCTGTAGAATAGGTAGAAACCCAATAACTAATGGCAGCTAGCTGTAGAAAATGTAGAAACCCAATAACTTATGAATCTCTACATTGAGATATATGATAATATAATATAGCAATATCTTGAAATAAAGAGAACGACATTCTGTGTTGCATTGTTGACAAAATAGCCCTTGTCAAGTAGCCGAGACAATTGCAATGGTGCATCTTTTTAAAGTGGTTAATGGTCATGCCTCAATATAATCTTTGTAGCAGAATTGAGCAGTAAGTTTGATAGTACAAGTAAAATAAGATTTTCTTTTGGGGTGGGGGATAATATTTCAAAGTTTAGCACTTTGCTAATTTAGCCTTGCGCTAACCTTCAAAACCTTTAATTACCCCTGTTTTGAGATTTCTCTGTCTATACTTCACACAGTAGTGATAGGGTCTCTATTTATATTGTTCCAGTAAATTTAAAATTGTCTGGCACTATTCTTTGTGTTTTATGCTCCAATCAATCAAGACAGTGTTTCTCTTGGTATGGTATCCTGACTGTTTCTCTTGGGTAGTAATATACAGTAGAAATGGCCCGACTCTAATAAACAAGGCACATGTCGAGGAAATGTAAACACAGCGGATTTACCCTACACAACACATGTATACATGTATATATATTTGTAAACTGCATTACATTTACAATACATATAAAGTACTGAGAAGTGTATAAACCTCCTTTTTCTATGTATGTCATTTGTGTGAAAACCATGGTTACCACATCAAAAATTACCAAAAAATGCCAAAAATTGCTATTTTTAACCCAAAATTTGACCCCCGCAACTAGTATTTTTTTTCCTAAGCTCTGTCTGAAATTAAAGATTACCTACCTGGTTGCAGAATTATCTGGGTCCCAGTAAAGTTGTAAAACTTGATTTTTTGCAATTTTGCGTCGTGTGCTGTTGTCAAAATTTTACCTCCTGTAAAGCTAGCTTTTCATGTGTACGCACCCTTTCGGATTATGGCCAAATTTTTATTCTCGAACCAAAAAAATCTTCTTTCTTTTTTTACAAATGTGAAGCTCACATAGCCCACTTCATCATGCTTATACCAATATTAGTACAGTTTTATTTTTATATTTTTTTTACATATCATTATACAGGGGTTAGCCATTTAACAAAAATATCACCCATGGCCACAACCCTCTACTGTATACTGCTACCTTGATATTGTCTCTGATTGGGAATTACAGTGTTTTGGATTTTGTACCCCCGCTCAACTTTTTTTTGCTATTAGATGTTCCCTGATCATAAGGAAGAATGTTTCTCTTGGTATGGTATCCATATCATAGAAGACAGAGCACAGGTGTACATGTTTCATTGCATTGTCCCCTGGTCAACGAAGACAGTAGTGTGTTGTGTGCATGTACTCTGATCAAAGGAAGACTGTATTTCTATTACTAGTGATCAAGGAAGATGTAGTGTATCTCCTGGTTATATACCAAGATCAAGAAATTCAGCATTTCTTTTACTTTAGATGGGCCAATATATACACTGTTGCTGTAAAGGTGAAATTACACACTTTGGTGAGCACAACTAGCTTTTGACAGATTCTAACGATGCTATAGAGAATCACTTATTGGTCTTTAGTCAATTAACTCCTCTTGCCGGTGCCTTGGGCTTTGGCTCCGGATGGAAGAAGTAAATTGGATCAAGTATATACATTTATCAGCACCCTCGAATCTGTATAGAGTTTGACAGGCTATTTATGTCGTGATTAGCCTCTCTAGTGTCTGTCGATGTCTTACATATCCTGTATAATTCCTATCATTGGCCCACCCTTGTGGAGCATTTCTGACCATCTTTGATTCAGCACTAATGACTTCAGCATCACTAGGATTGCTTTAGTGTTTTGTCTTCTACTGGTCATCGCTGATATATTATTTTATAATCAAGAGTTCATTGCATGCATGTCTTTTTAAATAACCCAAAGCTGTAGACTGTCTGACCATTCATGTCAATGGTCAGTAAAGAATTAACTAGTTCAGTCTAAATGACATCTAACACACTTTATATATATATTGGAATGCTGTATCTATGCAACAGCATAAATGAAGGGATAGTAAGAGTTGGGGCTTATAATATGAGACCTTTTCAGGAATGTCATTACTATGTAAAAGCTGGTACTTTTTGCATATTAGGAGATACTGTCTGCTGTGCCATAAAAGGCCTCCAATTGAAGGCTCAAGTCTAGTAGAGGGGGAATTACGAAGAGCACAATATGGGGTGCTGGGTGCCTGTGTTTTCTTGACATAAAGTGGTTAAATTTCAGCACTTTCAGTGGTAAAGTGTTTTAGATATTTCAGAAATGAAGTTAAATAAATAAAATATACAGAAAAATAAGCTAAATATATTTGGTTTGAGTTTTAAGTATTACTATTTTAAGTACTGGTCAGATAATCAGATTGACACAGATGACAGTAAGGCCTGCCTAATTACCGGGTAGTAATAATATAAACCAAATTTCATATTTTCCAACCTGGACATCAAATCATATTACTTCGACATACAATGTGAGTGTATGTCAATCAACTAAGCAGAGGTCGAACTGTGTCTAATGGCAAAACTGTGGTTAGTCTAGTGGTTAGTCTATAGGGTCTGAAGGTCTGCTGTATTTAGCCATATAAAGGCAGTGTTGGTTTATCAAGTCTAGAGGGTCTGAAGGTCGGTTGTATCATGCCATGAAGACACTATGGGTTTATATATAAAATTATCAAATCTAAAGGGTATGAGGGTCTGCTATATCAAGCCGAGCCATTAAGTCAGTGTGGGTATATGCTGGGCAAAAGATTCAGTTTAATATAGGTCTATTCAAGGGAGCTGCACTACTGAGTTATTAGCTAAAAGATCCCAAGCCTGTATATATATTCTGTCTGATGGGTGCATGGAGATGATGTTATTTGTAAAAATATGCCCAGTCTGAATCCGAGTACATGTACATTTGACAATTGATAAAAGTTGTGAATGAAGGCTATATAGCTCTAGCAGATTCCTGGTACATATATATATATAGGTCTGCTAGCCTATCATATACATACAATTATTGTATTTCTCATCAACATTAAGCCTTATCATCACAGAAAAGAATTGATTTTCCTGTATATACATATATATATGGAAATCTTGACAAGGTGTAAAGAGAAAAAGCAATATCATGTCCATGTCTGGTAGTACAGTGTGTGATGGTACACAGAATATGTCAGATAGTCACGTTGAATGTTATATGTACTGACATAATTATAAGTCTACAGACAGTAGTACATTTACAGCATATGTAATTGTACACACATGTACAGAGTATATGAAAGCAACTTATAAGTAGCAATATTTTTTCATGATTTTTTATTGTTTAATTGATTTAAAAAAATCTTCATATGATAAATAATGTCTAGAAACACCACACACAACTTATTAGTATGCCCTCCGTTCGAAATTTGACATTGTTATTTCTCTTGTACACCCACTGTTACCAATCAGTTATAATGGGCCAAATTAGATAATCTTACATAATCATTAAAATGTGTTGCATGGCCAATGGATTGCTTTTTCAAGACCTTAGATCAAATGTCAAGGTCACTGTTAATATAAATTGATTTCCATTCTATAATGTGTGTCCAGTGCACGTGGGCCAACCAAACTCAAATTCAAACTAGTACTGATCTTCAGCCAATAAGTAGAATACTCATGATCATGGATCAATTCAAGCAAACTTAACCTACAAATTGCTACAGCTTTTCAGATCTGAATATCAGAGGTCAAGGTCATTTATTAAATATTATATAGAAAAATAGTTTCTACAATATAGCTTGATTTTTGGAGACTGATAGGTGTACCTACCCAGGTATTGGGATTGCTTTTCAGCTCTTAAGGGCATAGGTAAAAGTTGCTGTTACTTTTAACAAGCATTTGGATTCCACACAAAAGTTTCTGTGGACTGATATCACTCAAACTTCATAACTGATTCCTTATAAGTGGAAAAGTGCTTGTTTTGGATTGCTATTCAGTTCCAAAGGTCAAAGGTTTTATAAGGTCGCTTCTATATATAGTTCAAGTAGCCAGAAGCACTAAAACTCACTTACTCCACAAGACAAATTGTCGCTAAGTTTATTCTGCAACCCTTGAATTTACCAGTACTGGTAACAATAATTCAGCATTTTTATATGGGGCTAGTGGCTATGTTTGCTTGGTAGTCTAAATGACTAGTTGAACAGATTACTTGCTAGTGTCTACATCAATGTAATTAGAATGTAACTAGTCCAAGATTTCCTGAATGAACATCCTCAGCCTGAAACAGAAAATTTGTATATTGTAGGGGACAAAATAACACTTCATTTCAATATAAATATGATGAAGGTCTAGGAAATTTTAACAATTAAAAGGCAAGATTTCTTCTTATATTAGCAGTTTTTGTAAAGGAATATTTTGTTTTATGATTAGTCTGAGTCAAGTGACATTGTTTTGACATTTTTACAAGCCAAATGGCCTATATATGTAGATAAGGGGATTTACTAGCTAGTCTTGCACAAACCTTGTGGAAATTTACGTCACAAGCTGTCCTACAAACCTTGTGGACATTTACTTCACAAGCTGTCCTACAAACCTTGTGATTATTCATGTCACAAGCTGTCCTTCAAACCTTGTGGACATTTACTTCACAAGCTGTCCTACAAACCTTGTGGGCATTTACTTCACAAGCTGTCCTACTAACCTTGTGGACATTTACTTCATAAACTGTCCTACTAACCTTGTGGACATTTACTTCATAAACTGTCCTACAAACCTTGTGG